TCATTAGCCCATAAACATTTCCTGTTTTTTGTCAAACCATTACATAACTGTAACAAGAGGCAATTCAATCAACATTAAACAGCCATCATGGAAAATATTTATCAATATTTGGACCTTTTTAGACTATCAGAAGCTATGAAAAAACAAATGTAAAACAGGACATATGTTAGGAACCTCGTTATTGTTTATATACCTCAAAATGGACTAAAAACAATTCAAGGATTGTTCACTTAAAAGTTCTTTAAGGAAGCTAGAATGGTTCTTCTGTGGCATTACTGTGAACTCTGTTTTGGAACATTTACTTTAAGAAGTATAGCTACTTGCTTTAAAATATAAGACATGATTTACCAGAAGCCGGATCACTGCTGCACTGGCTCAAGGAAAGAACAGATGGAAAAACAAAGGTCCAAATAAAACATGAAAAACAGAACAGTAAACACCCAATAGCATTCAAGGTCATTATTCAGACTGATTCCATTGCTAATTGAAAATTAGAGCCAAAGAAGGAAGGAAATAGGAGACACTAATCAATTTGAGGCTGTATCAGAGACGGGGCGCAGCAGAGGAGGGGGTTCCTGCTCTACCTTCCACACCAGATGGCCAGTGTATGTGTGTGTCTGTGAGGTGTAGGGTGAAGGAGATTTGTAGTAGGCATGTGCGGTGCTGGTATTGAACACCAAGCTAATTATGTGTTATGACAGATAAAAAAAAAAAAAAAAGATCTTTGTTTCTTCCTGCTAATGGTTAATTAATTAAAGGGTAGTACAAAAAAAAAAAAAAAATCATTATTTACTGCTAGTAAATCTGTGTTTTTATTCTCTCTATAGAAATATATATTTTTTAAAATATTATATATATATATATATATATATATATATATATATATATATATATATATATATATATATATATTTTTGTACACGTTTTTTCTTTATCTCTATAAATATTTTGATTTGTTTTTTTATATTTGGGTGGATACGTGCAAATATCCATTCTGCAAAATGTATATATTACTGTCTTTTGGTGATTTTAAGTGCTTTTATTATCCTCATTTCTAAGCAAGTTTGGATAAGTGTCTGCTAAAAGAATAAATGTAAATAATTGTTTAGTATAGATTGTGCGTCTGAGTGTCCCAATTTGGTCAGCCAGTAAGAAATATTGCAGGATGGGTGACAGATTCAGACAGCTGTAGTGCAACATTGCAACCTGAAGCCCTATGTGCCAAACTACAGAATAGTTTTTTTTTTTTTTTTTTTTTTTTTTTCTTGTTAGCCTAAGGGCATCGGATCAGAAGGACACATCGTACAGGTTTTTTCTTTCTTTTTCATGTACAGAATGTAACTTTTTACTTATTTTTTTACTTTGAGCAACTGGGTGTGTGATGATTTGACTTGGAATATCGAACTGTTCATGAAAAGGTGAGATTGCTTTTAGCTTCTATCACAGAGATAAAGAGCTACTCTATAAGATACAAAAAGAGAGACAGAGACTCGTCTCCGCTAAAGGCCTTGAACAGGTAGATGTTGTCTGGGCAGATGGATTGTCAGTGTTGTGTACAGGCTTCTTGATCTATGTGTGTGTGCATGTGTGTGCGTGCGTGCGTGTGTGTTGAGTTACAGTCCAGACAGCTAACAGATGGAATGGAGCGGTTTTGTTTTACTTTGTCGTATAGAAGGTCAAAGGATCACTGTGCATCACACACAGTCTCTGAAAGAAAGACAGGCCACCATTTAAATGTTTGCATTTGGTCTATTTTTTTTTCCAAAAATTTTGAAAGATCTCTGCAACAAAATAGGCTATTATTTTCCAAATGTTGATCTTACAAATATCACTACAAATCTTTCAGGTTGTATCGTAGCAGATGGTTCAATATTAATATATGTATGACACACGAACCGTTTTTAAAAGTTATAGATATTTACCATTTTAAATGTTCCATCAAGAGGCTGCTTTAGCAATTTGGAAAATATTTACGAGTAAATAAATGTTTCACTGAACTAGGCTGAACTAGTGAATTTGACAGTACACTGTCAAAAAAAAAAAATTAATATCTTCTAAATTTGGGACTTTGCCTTTATTTGGAACAACACCGGAACTACCAGAATCCTATAACTACTAGAATTAACATATCGCTCATTCTTAC